AAAACGGAGTCTCACTTCTGTGAAATCAATATGACAATACGATAACATACCCCTGAACCTTACCCGGCCTTGTATAACATGTGAGGATGGACCCGGTTTCGAAAGGCTGACATGCTGGAGTCCGTGGCGAGCAGCACCAGTTAAGTTTTCGGACATCGTCTTCGACGGCGAGTGTTGCTTTTGGCACGGAGAGGTCAAAAGTGAACAGGCAACTATCAAGTTGCGGGGGCCAAACGATGGCATATTCTGCAACTGTGACTCGGCTCCTGACGTTTTTCTCCAGCGACGAGGCCACGTTGCGTATGTATGTCCTGTTGCTGTTTCTCTCCTGGCTTTATGACCCAGTCAACTTCGATGCTTCAGAGGAAGACTGCTTCTGTGGCTATCGTCTGCGCGGCCTGTGGGTTTCTTGCCGGCCCATTGAAGAAGCAAGTCACGTTCGGACTGTTGGAGCAAGGCGGACTGAGATCCCAAACCATAACCTTAACCCCTAAACTCTAAACCCTAAACCCTTAAACCCTAAACCTTAAACCCTAAACCCTAAGCTCGAGTTGTGCACAGCCGGGTGCCTTTCCACCGGAAGCGCTGATAAAGCTCCTAACCAGGCAAGACATCGGGACAGTATAGGGGCCTGAAGAATTCGGAACCAGTACCCTTCCTACGGGCTCATGAAACTAACGAAAATAGGGGCCTTCATCATTACCCATACTATTTTCGGGGTTCCTTCTATTATACTTATAGTATAATGGGCTCCAAAACCCTCTTCTAATTGTTCAGGCCCCTATATATTAGAGTGTAAAGCTCCGCAATAAACCTACAGAGCAGAAACCTCTCGAACCACCTGTCTGGTATCCGGGGCTTCTGGCTTAAACCCCATAACCCCGTGGTTTAGGGTTTAGGGTTTAGGGGTTAAACCTTAGCATGCCCCAAACCTCTTAAACCCTGAGCCCTAAACCCTGAACCCTAAACCTGAAGCCCTAAACCCTAAACCCTATAAGCCCTAACCTTAGTTGTAGTAGCTTGCCCTCGGCGCAGATCGAGACATGGTCCATTGGTGACTTCCGAAGGCCGCGACAGCATGGGATGAGGGTTTAGGGCTTAGGGTTTAGGGTTTAGGGTTTAGAGTATCGGGTTAAGGGTATGAGGGTCTAGGTTTCTGAGTAGTACCCTTTTGCCCTTTTTATTTTGGGGTCTCCTTGCTAAAACCCAAAATTAGGAAAAAGGGTACCCTTATTAGGTAGTGGTCACTCAGGACCCTAGGGGTTTTAGTATCTCGGATTCATTATCAGGACGCACAAGAACCCCAAACCCCAAACCCTCAACTCCGAGGGCTTCAGAATTTGGGCTTTGGGCTTTGGAGTTTGGGAGCTTGAACCGAGCTTCTCCGGGCTGCCCATGTCCGGCCACTTTGTTTAGGGCTTAGGTGTTTTAGGGTTTAGGGTTTTGGGGTTTTAGGGTTTTCGGGTTTAGGCTTTGGGACTTAGGGCCTAAGGTTTAGAGTCTTGTGGTTTTGGGGTTTAGGCTTTAGGGTTTTGTGGTTTTAGGGTTTAGGGTTTGGGATGTAGGGTTTAAGGATCAGAGTTTTGTGGTTTTGGGGTTTTAGGGTTGAAAAGTGTCCCTGCATGGAGTGTCAGAAGCTTCGGGAGCCTTAGGTCACGAAAGGGGAGTGGGGGTTTGTTTAGGGTTTAGGGTTTAGGGTTTAGGGTTTAGGGTTAAGGGTTTAGGGATAGGGGATTGGGGGTTTGTTTAGGGTTTAGGGTTTAGGGTTTAGGGTTTAGGGTTTAGGGACAGGGGATTGGGGGTCTGTTTAGGGTTAAAGTGTTTAGGGTTTTCAGGTTTAGGCTTTAGGGTTCAGGGTTTCTTCCAATCTCGCACCTTTCCGCCAGGGTGCACTTCCCGCCATCCATGGAGGCAAGCGGGGGTGTCGGGGGTGCTCTTGGGATGACTGCGGTACCTTGTAAGAAAACAAGCGGTAAGAACATGGTGTAGGGTTTGCAGGATTTCGGTGTGTATATCGGTATATTCAAGTTCTCATCTGGACTTGGTAGTGGGCCCAAATGAAGATATCACCCTCATCATCATCCTCATCATCCTCATCATCCTCATCCTCATTCTCATCCTCCTCATCCTCATCCTCATCCTCATCATCGTCATCATCATCGTCATCGTCATCGTCATCGTCGTCATCATCCATCCTCATCCTCATCATCACCAACATCATCATCATCATCATCATCGTCATCATCATCATCATCATCATAAGAACCATTGCCAGAATCATAGTAGGAACAACTGTAAGAATAGTCAACATCATAAGTGCTCAGCCACAAACACTCATAGAGTATGATGTTGGATCCCGCAAGCCCCTCCTCAGCCAGTCGATCCGTTCCAACAAGCCTCGAAACCCAAAACCCTAAACTCCGAACCCAAAACTCTGAACCCTAAGACTTCAACCCTAAACCCTAATAAGCCCTAAATCCTAAACCCTAAACCCCTAAACCCCTAAGCACCTAAACCCTAAAACCCTAAAACCTTCAAACCCTAAACCCCTAAAGCCCTATGCCTTAAACCCTTAACCCGAGGGGACCGAGACTTCGAAGGGAGACCCTCCCGGCCCAAACCGGAACCCGCCAGCCAGAGCTTGGTGGCTCAACGCCTTTCAGACAAAGTTGGTTGAGGGTTTAG